TACTAGCTGTCCATCAAGGACATCAGTAATTCAAAGTAATCGTAAGTTTTTTCTGTGCATAAATAATCCATAATAATGGTGACATACGGCAATTCACATTCATCATTGATGAGAATGGCACTGAAAGTTAGTTATAATCATTGCTTCTGAAGCTCTCCAGGCATAATAGATTCGTGGAAAAAAATATGAAAAAAACAGTGGCAGAACATGTGATAAATAAATCCCATTAGGTCTGATAGTACGACACAGGCAGGGAGGAAACCCACTGGGAGATTTGCAAGTCAGTAAAGAAAAATACACATTCACAATATTAATTACAACAGTCAGTGCTTTACAGGTTCTAAAACAACTTCCCTCTTGCTGCAAGTGGATAAATAGATAAGGCTTGCTAGCAATGGGAAGAATTAGAACATAATTAAGACTGACAACTGAGCTGTATAAAAATAGATGAGCACATGTAAACATTTTTTCTAGTGACTGATGAGGTGAGAAACAATGGCTTTTCTGCTGAATAAATAATTTGTCACACTGTAGGACGGATGCTCCTGGTAGGTGTAATAACTTGCTAGAGAGGTAGAACTCATTAATATTGCGCTGTGTGCAATATCGTGTGTCGACACGCTGGAGGGAAGAGATGCCATCCAGAGGGTCCTTGACATGCTTGGGAGGTGTCACTCAACGTGAGCTGGCAATGTGCACTCACAGCCCAGAAAGCAAACAAAATCCTGGGCTGCATCCAAAGGAGCATGGCCAGAAGGTCAAAGGAGGGGATTCTCCCCCTCTACTCTGCTCTGGTGAGTTCTCACCTGCAGTGCTGCATCCAGATCTGGGGACCCCAACATAAGAAGGACTGTTGGAGCAAGTCCAGAGAGGTAATGAAGTAAATAACAGGACTGGAGAACCTGCCCTACAAAGGCAGGCTGAAAAATTTGTGGCAATTCAGCTCAGAGAAGAGAAGGCTGCATGAAGAACTCATAGCAGCCCTCCAGTATCTGAGGGGGCCCTACAGGGAAGCGGGAGAGGGACTCTTTCTCTGGAACTGCTGTGATAGGACAAGAGGGAATGGGTATAACAGAAAGAGGGGAATTTTACTAATATTAGAAAAAAATCCTTTATTGTGGAGGTGGTGAGGTACTGGAACAGGTGGCCCAGAGAGGTTACGGATGCCCAGGCCCTGGAGCTGTGTAAGGCCAGGTTGGATACAGCTTTGAGCAATCTGGTCTAGTAGAAGGTGTCCCTGCAGGTGGGTTGGGACCAGATGGTCTTTAGGGTCGCTGCCAACCCTAAACATTCTATGATTCTGTGGTTCTGAAGTACATATTCTAGTTGCCCTATGTATGCTTAACTAATTTCAAAATGTGAATTAGATGAGATCACATATTTTTTAATGGGTCTATTTTAGGGTTTTACCAATTTCAGAGGAAGAGGAAGGCTGAGTACCACTCAGCTGCAAGTGTTTCCTGCCTATTGCCTTCTCCCCACTGTTGGGAGGGTGTATTTTCAGCACGGTCACTCGGAGCAGCCTGGCATCCTTGCTGCCTATGAACAACATGGTCTGCCTTCCCCTTTGCTCCAAATAGAAGTAGGCTGTGTGCCATTAGTCCCTCATTTAGTTTAAATTCCCATAGCAGGATACAGCTAATGGTTTACGGTGAAATACAGTGGCATGGCATGGCCTTAATGTCATAATTATCCATAAAGAACTGACAGAGATCTTTTAATGTCTCCAAAGAAGTCAAGAGACAAGTAATTTGTAAGTCCTGCTGTATAAGTAAAATGAACCTTAAAATTAACTTACTATGCAAGTCTGGTAGTGTTTCTGCAAAGCTTTCTGGTAATAAAATCTAGCCGTAGCAGAGGTTTATCCTTGACTTTAACTGGGTGTATAGTTTGGCCAAATTCTGAAGAGAGGCAGAGGTTTCCTGCTATTATGTGATGAGGAAGAGAGGATGCTGTGCTCAGGAGGTCCCAAAGCCTATAGCAATGCATTGTTTGATAAGAGGCTCTCTTCTCTGTGGTCAATTAAACAGGTGCCCACGTGAATAAGCTGCTGTTGAAGTCAGGGAGGCAAATGCCCTCGCTGGAACCCTTGTCAAAGCAGTCCCTTGGGAATGTAGAAATTCTCAGCAGCTAAATAAGGTTGAAGAAGGCTGGAACCTGTGGTACCTCCCATTAAACAGTGGGTTAAAGGAGAAGAGCATTTATTGCTCACATAGGTGGGGGCTAGCAGAAGCCTCTTGTTCTGGACACAAAGCAAGTGTTCTTCATGACCTCCCAGGGAGAGGATGGCTCATGAATTAGGAAAAGAAAGTGTTAGTGCCAGGTAAGAGTACTTTTTACTTGAGATTTTAAATTGGTCCTCATAGGGTAATACTTCTCTGGAATAACTATCTCGCTGCAAGTGACCTCCTATCCTATCAAAGCTACATTTCAATCATCTGCAGCTGTTATTTCCATGAATATGGGATTGCTGTGTTTATCATGCAGCTTTGACTTCCTCTGCATGCTGCATGCCTGTCTCTCTTGGCTGAGCTTACTTTTAACATTTCAAAGAGTTGTGTAGCTTCCAGCACCCACCGTCTGTGAGTATTGTGGTCATCTCAAACTCATGCCAATACATTTTTAGACAGCATTTGACAGTCCTGTACTTTGTGAGTTTTTCTCATGCTAGCATGAAATACACAAACCTGCTTATACATAATCTTAGAAAAAGTTTTTTACAGTTTGTTCAGATAAATCTCCTTGGCTCAGCAGCAAATCCATTTGCTTGCAAGGCTGGAGCTCTGTGTTTTAGTCCCTTTTATTACTTAATTTTGTCTGTATTGGTTAGTGGGAAGTATTGTCAGCATTGTATTTAAGTGTGTTTGTTTAACAAAGCTCAGGCCTGATGCGTCAAGCTGGTCGAATGTCAGTTCCAAATTTGAGGGCAAAATGGTCACACATAATATTTAAACAATGTGTGGTGTACATTGCAAGAAAGAAAAATACTGATGGGCATGACTCCATAGAGTAAAGGCTAGTGCTGTAAAAGGCCTCCAGAAAATAAGAGTTGCTGTACACAATAGTTTTTATTGTAGACTACAAAAAGGATTACTGGTTTTCTTGCTGAATTTGAAGATCAATGCTGTATGCGGAGTGTTTATATCCCTGCTAGAAATGAGAATGTGCAGCTCAAGTCCACTCAAAGTAAGTGGTAAGATGAGGATCCAGCTGAGGATTGCATCTGGGATCACAATAGGTGGAAAACAGCAGCCAACTGATAGCAGACCTTGGAGATGTTTACTAAGTATTTAATGGAAATAAACTGCTTTCCCAGAGATAGCTCTTCAGGTCTTAAGGTTAAGGCACCAATGCAGTAATTCCTGGAGCAGATCTCAAAATGGTTTCTTCCCATTGGGTGGAATCCCTAAATTTAAGGCCTGCTCCAAACCCTCTTGAAGCTATTGGAAGGCTTCCCATGGATTTCAATTTGTAGGCAATAAATATGAGCCTTTTTAAGCTTTTAATAATAATTCCTTCACTCAAAGAAAAACAAAATCTCATTCCAAATATTTAGATTGCTAAAGAAAGGCATGTAGTATTTTCCACAGTATTTTATGGAGACACAGGTCAGCATGGAGGAAAATGTTCACGCCTGTTTTTCCATAGGATGTTCAAAGAAATCCTGCAAAATTATTTTCCATGAGATAGGAACAGCCAGTGTTTACATAGGCTAATGATTAAGAAATCTTCTGGAAAGAAAGGAGAAAATATGATGAATATTTTTGGGAGAGTATTTTCTATTAAAAATATTCAGGTATGAGAATCTTACATCTTTGAGAATTCCTTGAATGAGGGAGTATCAGTAGTCAGAAGCAGACATTTCTCTTGTGTTTGAGTATTGAGTCTGTGTTGATGAAGCCACCTCTGTGACTGAAGATCTGCTTGCAAGGGGTGGCTGGATTGGGCCCAGAGGCTTTCACTACTCGACAAGTGCTCTGCTGGTTCCCAGGGATGGGCAGCAATAAGCTACAGCTCACTCTGAAATAGCAGGGGCAGCTTCCTGCCCTGTGCTGCATCTTGTGCAGACTTGTGGACACACAGGGTGAGAGTCGTGTGATTGATGTTGCTGAAATTGGAGTCCTGAGGAACTCAATATTACACTCATTTGTATTATGTCACATTGATACGGAGAAGCGTTAAAATAAGTGACTTCTAAAGTGTTTGCTGATGGTGCTGCTGATTTAAGCGGGATTATAGCCCATTAAGCACCCGATGTATGACTGTCTTTGGCCATTTTACAGATACAGCCTCTGGCTTTAAATGCTTGAGACTTATACCCATTTGTTACGGTGAATAATTTTTTAGACTTTTTAAAGTGTGGCTGTGGGAGCAGTTTTTGGTTTCTCTTGGTAAATCCTCTTTTCAGATTTGTCTTCATGCTTTTCACCTCAGTGTGAACAACTGACCCATGGATAGTGTCACAGGTGACCGATGACTGGGAAATAGGGGAGTTATCCCACGGCATAGATAGCAAGGATAATTTCAGGCTTTTTAGTGGCAGAAAGCACATTTGAAGCAGCATTTCTGATGTATCTATCAGACAGAAATGGAAGAAGGCGGTGCGCAGGCGGCGCGTGCGATAGGAGAGCAGCTACCATCCCTGACTCCCAGATCCCACCTCGTTAACTCCTTGCAGCAACACACCAGGGCTGCCGAGCACCGGGTTAAAATCAGGCCGAGCCGGGAAGGACAGAACAACCTGGCCCTATAGCCCCGCGCCGTTCTCCGGCGAGGGCCGATGTGTCCCCTCTTGTCCCCACTCTCCTGCTAATTCGGTGATTTCGGACAGTTCAAAAGTTCACGGAGAGGCTCTGGCGAGGCGGCAGGGTGTGGGGCCGGAGCGGGGACCGCCGGCAGGTCCAGCCTCGCCGGCGGGGTTGGCCGGTGCCTTCTCCTCCTCCCTCTCTCCCTCCTCTCTCCCCGCTTGTTTCCAGGCGAGACCTTGCTCTCCGCAGGTACCGCTCTGCCTCCCCCCGGCTCCCCTTCCATCCTCCCCCGGCGCCCCTGCAGCATCTGCGGCCACCCCGGCGGGCAGCCTGCGCGGAGGGTGCGCACCCCCGGCGGGCCGGGAGCGGCGCGGAGCGGAGCGGCTGCCCCCCCGCCGGCGGGGGGCGCGGAAGGGGGCGCGGAAGGGCGGGGGGGGGCGAGCAGCGGTGCGGCTGCTCACCGCCCCACAAAAGGCACCGCCGGGCTCGGGCTGCTCCGCACGCCCGGCGCACCGGAGCGCGCAAGGGCACTCACACACACACACGGGCTTTCACACACACACACACACACGGGCTCTCGCACACACACACGGGCTCTCACACACACACACAGGCTCTCACACACACACACGGGCTCTCACACACACACACCACACACGGGCACTCACTCGCACGCACTCGCACACACGGGAGCGCCGCGATGTGCGATGCGCGATGCGCGACGTGAGGCACCTCGCACGCCGCGGGGCCGGGGAGAGCCGGCGGGATCGGCGCTGCCAGCCCGCCCGCCCCTGCCGCTCCCTCTCCTCCAGACCCATCCATCAGCCTCTTCCTCTCCGTCTGCTCCTGCCTTTCTTTCCTTTTCCATTTTTTATTTAATTTTTTTTTTTTAAATTCGCTCTAACTGTATCTATCCAAGCATAGAAAAAATGCCTGCCCGTGGAGCGAGGAGAGGGCACCGGGTCGGTAAATAAGAAGTGAGTACGAGCACAATGGCGTGCCTCCCCGCTCCCAGCCCTGCGGATGCTGCATGCGCCCCTGCTTCCCCCGCACCGGACCGCGGGATGCTCGCCGCGGCGGCCCGGGGCTCCTTTGTACCCTGCCCGGCTCCTTTCCCCTCCCTTCCCGGCCCCGCTCCCGCCGCGCCCCGGCTCCGCCGCCGGCCGCCTCGCCCCCGCGCCGCTCCCCGCGGCGGAGCATCCCAGCTGCCGGCGGCTTCCCGGGGGCTACCGGGGCTGCACCTCGCGGGGGCGGCGGGCGTCCCCCGCCTGGTTGCACCGGCCGCGGGGAGGGGGCGGCGGGGCCGGCGGCGGGGCGGCGGTGCCCGGTGCCCGCTCCTTTGTTCGCCGCCGGCGGGCTCGGCGGGTCGGCGCCGCTCCGGGCGGGCTCGGCGGCCCCGGCCGCGCTGAGAGCGCTCCCCGGCACCGGCCCTGGGGGATCGGAAGGGCTCGGGGGCTGCCACGGGAGAGAAGGAGGCAGCGGGAAAGGGACTAAGGGACTCCCCCCGCCAAGGTGCGGGACGGGGGTGGGGGGGGCTGTGCCCGACCCGCCGGTGTCCGTGGGGCGGGGGCCGGAGCTGTGGGAGGCGTGACCGCGTTGCGCGTGGAGTGCCCGGCGCCCACCCCGCGGGCTGGAAGAGGTGCCCCGGGTCTCGCTTGGCCCGGGCTGGGGCTGCCACTCTCCCCCCGAGCCCTTCTCCCGGAGCAGCGGCGTGTGCCGGAGCCCGGACGGTTCCCAGGCAGTGACTCTGCCAAGTACCACCGCCTTCCCTGCAGGGATGCATCCCATCTCCGCTGTCCTGAGGGAGACTTTCCTCTAGATTTAGACCTGAGCTTTTCCTACCAGCGGTTGGAAGAGCTGTCTTGGCTATTTAAAATGTACTGGTTATTCAAAACAATTTAAATATAGCTTGTGTGGTCACTGCCATGACCATCTTCCCACAGGAGACCTTTATCTGCGCTTGATGTGGAGGATTTTTTTAGTGCCCATGTAGTTACTGGTAGTCACATGAGTTATCCAAGTACTTGATTAACACACCCAGCCACTCTTTTCCTAGCCCGGTGGGGTTTTTGTAGCTGTAAATAGAAATACCTGCTCTAACAAATGCATGACTCTTCCAGTAAGCACACATGTGTTGTACCACTGTTTTCTGAAAGGTGTAATCAATAAACAATTAGCCTGTTAAGACCGGTATGATGAGCAATGTCTTATTTTTACGATTGTGTCTGGGGAGTTTAGAAATGATCACACAACTGCTCTCCGAGAGCATTTGTTGGAGCATAGGACAAAATAGGTGAAAGAGATGAGGTTTTGTATTTTCCAGATACTTCCGTAATGATGAGGTAGAACACAGCTGGAAAGCTGCTTAGCAGTGCTTGAGAGAACAGTGGACATGAAGAATCTCTGCAGCAAAATACTACCTTAGAGTAATTTAATGGAATGCAAGGATGTAGGGGAAATCTGCTTTTGGAAATGATTCAATATATTGGGGACAGACATAGAAAACGTTGCAAATGTGCTTATGCATGGACACTACCACTCAGAGCAACAGATATGTTGTAAGGTGTCATGGGATTAAGAGAAAGATTAAGCAGTTTAGGAATTCCATTTAGAAGCAACAGAATTCATGTAATCTCTTGGCAAGAAGTTTAGCTGAGTGGCACTGTAAACATTAACTTTCTTTTTCTATTTTTGCCAGTGGCGGCACCTGACTTGCTGGATCCCAAATCGGCCACTCAGAACTCCAAACCAAGATTATCATTTTCCACCAAGCCTACCGTGCTTGCTTCAAGGGAGGAAAGTGATTCGGCCATTAATGTTATGAAATGGAAGACAGTCTCAACAATTTTTCTGGTGGTAGTCGTGTATTTAATAATTGGAGCAACAGTATTTAAAGCCCTGGAGCAGCCTCATGAGACCTCCCAGAGAACCACCATTGTGATTCAGAAGCAGACGTTTGTATCTCAGCATTCCTGTGTGAATGCAACAGAGCTTGATGAACTGATTCAGGTAATCCATACCAAACCCCTCGTCACCTTGCCTTAGAGGAACCAGATACATGGCAGCACTGCAGTGATAAGGGGCACAACCTTTATAAGCAGAGCTCTGTGTTGGCTGAGCGATGTAACAAGTGTTAAGAACAGAAGCTGAGCATTTGCATTTTCATGCAAAGCCGTCATGGTTGAAAAGCTATTGCTATTTTTAGGTCCAGTACGCTTGGTAGAGGGCCTTTTCACTGAAGCCTCCCATTATGCTAATTAAATGATTATTCATCAGCAATATATATAATTAATAGTTCACAAAGGAATTGGTATATTGATTGTGCTTTACAAGTTCTGTCAATATTTGAAGTGCCTAATTCTGAGGAAGAAGCTACACCATCCATTGCCTTAAAGGACTCCTAATTTACTGTGATTTTATCAAGCTAGCATTCCTTCCAGCTGTATGTTTCTTTATATTGATTTTGTTTTAAGTACAGGAAAGCACCGTGGACTTCTGACTTTGATCTTAAATCTCAATTTTCTCTGCTTCTTAAAGGCACATCCACAAATGATGTACACTGGTGTGTTCCTACTAACACGACTTTACCTTTGCAGGTCACCTGCCTCAGTACCACGGGAGATATTTATTTGCAGTAGCACAGAACTAGATCTGGAGCCTTATAAATCCCCTTCTAACTTAAATCCCATGTCCTTATGAATATCCAGTGGCACTGGAAGGAATAGCAGGGGGCTGCCAAGTCATGTCAGTTCTGGGCATGGCACAATGAAATGGGAGACTCGAGTGAACAGTCAGGAGTTGGCAAGGATTCACTCCTTCCTTAACAGTGGCCATGGGGCTAGCTGGGTCTACAGAGCCCAAGATGGGACAGGGAGAGCAGGAGAGGGTGTTGGGCACCCAGACTATGGTGAGCAGGAACTCTGGAGCATGCCAGATGCATGGGCAGAAAAAAATTCTGGGAGTGTTTTTTGTCAGCAAATATGGCTGGGAGTTTAGAAGCTGATTTTACCTCTCTAGATCAATCTGCCTTGAGCATCAGCATGGTTGTGTTTTATTTTTTCAGTAAATATAGAGTTCTGATGTGCTGAGTTATTTTTATGGTACACTACTTCTGAATTTAAAGGTAAGCTGGGAAAATGTCTTGTATTTTGTGATTTCTCCCCTGCCTTGTTGCTAAAACATATTCCAAAACTGCTACCCTTAAAATGCCTGTCAGCTCTTCTCCCCATGAGTCCAGGCACGCATGCCTGAGGAGATGCTGCCAATAGTGATTTAGATGCTGTGTAATAACTGTGTTCCAGTGGTTTGACCAGCAGAATGTGAGATAATCCTTCAGAGAAATATACAAGCACATTCTGATGAAAAATAACTATCGTAGCTACTATAAATATCCTCCTATGAAATTTTTAGGTCAGATACTGTACTTGTGAGATTAAAAAAAGAAATTTTGAAGCAATATTATCTTACATCATCTGTGAGATGGACCTTAAGGCAAAAACTGTTGAAGTTTGCTCGGAGTACTTAGATATTTTAGCATTTATGATTCTCTGCCCAGAAGCACAGATTGATAATAAAAAAACACTTCATCAGCATTCAACGCCCATTTGATGTTCTGTGTAAAATAAATGAGTTTCAGTACAACCATCAGAAAACAGATAACCATATCAGCATTAGCTTCCATCTCCACTAATGATCTTGCCACAACCAGAAAAACACAGGCGTGTGAAGCATGGGGAGGTGACACAACCTCCCACAGCAGATTAATGAGAGAGAATTGTGGAAAGAGTTTGTCCTGCTTGCTGTTGGGGTAAATGGAAAACTTAATTTGCCCTTGATCACTTCTGCTTCTCTCTAAAGAGCACCACAATGTGGAGGTAGGAATGTACTGTTACATCCATTCACAGGAGCAGAGCTGGGGCACAGGGAGCCTGTTTGGGTGCCTTGCTTTATGCAGAATAAGTGTTAGTCAATGACATCAAGCCAATGACATTAAGGGTTGGGAAATTCTGCTTTCCCAAAGTAAAATGGAAAGGCAATGGTAAAAGAGAGTCTCAAATTCATTTTTCCAGGTCTAGGCTACTATCTTACTGAGGTCATTTTTCTTCCCTAGTTGCCACTTTGCCACAAAAACTAAATTAGTGAAATACATTTTGTCTCCCAAGGATTATGTCTGACTGCTATTGCAATAAAATGCAGAGTTTCTTCAGTTTTTGTTGGATGTCTGTATGAATAAAAATAAATAGTGCGTGCAAGGAAAAAGTAAATGTTATTTAAGAATTCACTGAAAGCTATAAAACTAAAAATTAATATGTACTAGAGTAGAAGGGAGCTGGAATGATTAGTTTGTGTGAAGAAAATTACAGAGCTTACAGACTGTAATGTCTTCTTTAATCAAGTATTTACCTTGAGTCAAACTGTAATGAAATTCATTGCAACTTTTCTTTTTGAACTTCATGTTCTGGGAATCCAGATAGTGTTTTGGCTCTTTCATGCTAGTCATTGCTCAAGGTGCTTACCATACCAGGCTTTTTCAGTCTTCACAAACTTCTGCTCTGTAGTTTAATCCTTACTCTGAAGCAGGCTTGGTTACCCAAAGACTGTCCACAGGCAGTACAATATGTAGTAGTTTATTCAGGTAAGCACATCAGAGAGACTAGTTGGAGAGAACAAATTCAGCTAAAAAGAAAGCACAAGTGGAATGACAGTCCAGTTTCCAGCACCCAGGGGCCATGGAGTTTCCAGCACCTTGGCTGAAATCTTCCTTTGTCACAAAGCTATTTAAAACAGTGTTGTGTGTTTCTATATATACATAGAGGATAGGGATTTTTTCCTGTCTGTCTTCTCCATCCTTATTTTATCTCACCAATCCCCAGAACCTGTCCTGGTACAACAATATATACTATTGCCAACTCTTCAGCAAGCACAGGTTTATTCCCTGGGTTTTGAATTACTGAAACTTTGTATTGTCACATTGATTGTGTGGCTCCTCTGGGTGTACTAGGTGAGAATTATACTTTTACAGACATCATATATTTTATATGGATGTAAAATATGGGGCAACAGAGAGCTGCTATGCAGCCTAGAAAATGTGCAAAAGTAATGGAACACAGTGCTTTGAGGGTGGCAGTGAGGTAAATTCAGCTGCCTCAGAAAAAGGACCTTTTCCTCATAAATTTTCAGCCCAGTCCAGCAGTGTTGTTCCTCTGCTGACAAAAAAAAAAAAAAAAAAAAAGACATGGTCTTCATGACTTCTTCTGTCTCTGACTCCCATGGTCCAATATTGCAAATCTTTTAGTCTAAAGCACATCAGTTACTTGCTGCCTCACATCACAGAACATATCTGAGATGAACAACAGCAATGCATGACCCTGAGAGGTATATCCAGGTACATAATTTGATATTTTGTGAGCACTTCCATTTAGTACTGTATTAAAAATGTGCACAAATCATGCAGAGCATATCTGTACACCCAAGAGACCAGTTTTTTCCAGGCAATTTCAAGTCCTTTGCTGTTGCCTGAAGCCAGCATTAACAACAGCATTAAGGGGATCACTGGATGCTGTCCTCAGTGGTGTTGAGGTGCAGAGCACTCAGTGGTGGTTTATCTAAATTTGCAACTAGAGAAATACCCCAGAGGGAGGCTTGTAAAAGTACAAACTATCTGGGTGAGTAATGAGAATACAACAGAGCAGCAAGCTGTGCATGGTCTGATGTTAAAATTCACTTTTAAAAAGTTTCAGTTGGAAGGTCTTGCAAGGGTCTCATTTGGTAACAGATGAGAAAACATTGATTAGGTAAAGGTTGTTTGTGATATCTAATACATTATAAAGCTGCAGAAAGTGATGTGGCCAGGTTCTTTCCTAGTATTACTTCTTTTGGAGAAGAACATTCTGCAATTCATCATACACTCTGTCTGTGCCTGCTCTCAACTTGGCCCTGCCATGCAATGCAAACTGTCAGGTGACAGAATAAAAGAGTAAATGTAGTTCAGACTGTGTGGATTTAATGAATGTGTGACAAAGTGTATAAAGCTGATCTTCATTTGCTCAAAGGATTTTTTATGTCTTGCGTCCAACAATTTTTCTCTCTCCACTGAGCTTTTTGTTGGAAGAAGCTGATAGAAACCTGGGAGTAATCCAGCTATACACACAAATAACAATAAGCATTAAAGAATGAAATAATTCTCTAACTGGAGCTCTTGTATCTAATTATTTCAATCTAATTCTAATTTTTTTTTTAGTTTGTTGACTGTTTCCTATAGCAAGCTTGCCACTAAGCATTTAAAATGTTAGAGACATTCTCCAAACTCAGATGCACAAAACGTATTGCCAAGAACTTGGAAAAATTTCCTGCTATATTTATGCACCTGTGAATGGTAGCAAATGTAAAGAGACCTTAGGTTACACTGCTGATGTTCAGGTGGCACTCATGTCCTCATGGAGTGCTGTGCAGCCACGAGATACTTGTGTCTTCCATCATGGCATCTCCTGGGCTTGTCTCTGGGAACAGGTGAGCCTGGCTGAGTTTGATATTCAGCAATGTCATAAAATTGTCATAACTGTCGTTTTATACACCTCATTCCCTCTAGAGGATCCCAAAGATCCTATGGAGGAAATAAGGTGCATGAAGAAACAGTGAATTTGCTTTCTTCTTGCCCAAAACTCATGCTGTTCCTAGGATGTAGGGATGTGGCCAATATTTTGTGTTGTGGGATGTCTTGGCAATTAGAAGTAACAGTCTGTCCCCCTGCCAAAGAAAAAGATGATTAGAAAAAAAAAAGAGAAGAACTTTTTATGTAAATACCACCTAATTATATATTGCTCAGCATTTATTTTTTCATGTTGACCTTTTTAAACCAAAATGGAAAAAAAATCCTTTTAATATCCAAGCAAGTTGTTTAATGCATTATTTTTGCATACAAAAAAGAGAAGAAAAATTTTAGTTATATTATTTTAAATATCTAAAATGTCCCAGCAAGCTGGTGTGAATTATTATAGCTATTTTAGTGA